GCACATCTTTCCCTTTCCTTATTCTCCATGCGACAAATTTGCCATGGAGTTTAGATGTCTCCCACCCCGGGCGCTTCCTCTACCAGCTTCTCTTCCTCACGACCCAGCTCTCAGACTGTGGGTTCTCCCCTACACCCTTAAAGTCGGATGTGTGTTCAGCCTCCTTTAGCATTCTTATACCCACCAGGCCTGTATCGGGCTGTTCCTGACTCTGAGCAACGTTGCTCTGTTCTGCCGTGGTCTCGCTGTGCTTCCCCAGTGTTGAATGGCCTCACTCTGGGCCATGGCGGGTGCTGGGGATGTTCAGGGGAACAAGACAAGCCTCCCGCTCTTAGGAGCTGAGGGTCTCTGAACTCCCGCAGCAGCCGGGGGCCTTCTTGCTCTGGTGTTTGAGCCATCCTCCTGTTTTCCCCCAGGCCCTTGGGATTGAAAGTGAGGACGACTTGTACAAACTGGTGAACTTCTTCCTCAAATACCGAGTTCATCATTCACCCTCCAGTCAGGTAATGTGAAGTTCAATCAAAAAGGGAGCATTTGAAATTCTGGAAGCCCCCAGAGGGCATTGTTGTCTTTGAGTAATACTCCTGGAAAAATAGTGAGGGCTTTATGTCAGAGAGAGCTAACTTAGTGTTTTCCTTAATATTGTCACTTTTTCTATTTGCGGTGGGAAGGATGGCTGGGGATGAGAGGCTGTTCTCCCTCACAGCCAGGCCTCAGCCACTATGAGCCCTGGGCCCACCAAGTTCTGAATATTTTGATCCCTAACACTTGACTGAAAATTATTTTTAGTATTGCTGGCCCCTGGGGGGAGTATCCTGACATGCTGTCAAAAAGGGTTGGCTGGGCCTTCTGGGTGACTCAGTCAGTGAAGCATCAGATTTCTGCTCAGGTCACAAGCTCGTGTTTTGTGGGATCGAGCCCCATGTCAGGCTCCATACTGACAGCTCAGAGCCTGCTTGAGATTCTCTTTCTCCCTCTCTCTGTCCTCCCATGTGCACACGCTCTCTCTCTCAAAATAAACTTAATTTACACTTAATTTAAACTTAATTTTAAAAAAGGATTGAGGGGCGCCTGGGTGGCGCAGTCGGTTAAGCGT